TGGACATCTCAGGCCACTCCTGCCTGGTGCTAAATCCAAGGCTGCCATAATGTTTAGAGGTCCAGGCAGCAGGTAGGCAAAACCTCTTAAGCTGTAGCTGGCTGGTTCACAGCAGCACCGCTGCCTTCCCAACTGTAGAGCGCTGGGCCAGGATCCCACAGAGTGCACGTTCCAGGATGCCGCAGCCTCAAGCACCTCTCAGAGTGGTCATGTGGCACTTAACCAAGGGCATCAGCTGGCTGAGCATCTGTTTCTGTAAGATTCTGTCTTCGGTTTCACTCAGAGAGCTTTCCTAACCTAATTACGTGTGTCAAGTCTGTGGCTGTAATCACTGCTCCTCCGTTAACCTTCCCAAGCAGTCACATTTCGATGACTTTATGGGCCGTCTCCGGGAGTCTTCTTGTTACTCTAGATGTGCCTGATTACCGAGCAACGGAGCTGAACTGTGCAGCCCGCTGACCTGCAGTCAGAACACTGATGGTGATTGGTCCTTGGCACAACCTCGCTGTTGTTTGGGCTCGGGCTCTGGCTTTGTGTATTAAGCTGAAGATAATAGCTGACATGTCGAGCAAATTGCAGAGTGACCTGAACAGGCTGCGAGTGAGGAGAGTGAGGTGAGCCTGCTTGAGAGGAAGTCCAGCAATTAGCTCCGAAGTCAATCTCCTCTCCCACTCCTCGGCCCTCACGGCCCAACCCCTGAGCCCCAGGTTAAGTGAACAGATTGGGAGTTAGCCCGGTTCACTTAGCCATCAAGATAAAATCAAGCACATCATCTCCCTGGCAATCCTGGACAGGGAATGAACATTTCCCCCTTTTGCTTTCGGCTTTCACGCTGCAGCTGTTTCTCATCTGGCACCAGCATGGGGGTGCGATGCGTGTGAGTGAGGGTTTGCAGGTCGATTTGGATGCTCATGTTTAGTTACTTGAAGCATCCTATTAAAGATCGTTTTTCTAGCCTTACGAAGTCGTAGCAGAGTCTCTTTAAGGTTCATTGAGCCATTTCTCTTCCTGATGATCTGTCCTGGGTTCCCCATTTGCTCTGTTTTCTCTTTGTTCTGAGGAATTCTGGCAGGGTGTATGCTTGGAGTCTGGGGCCCCAACTTCATCAAAGTGAACATTCTTTGAATGGTAGGAAGGCAGCAGCCTGAGGCCTTCCAGCCAGGCTGTAAACTATCATCTTTTCTTCTTGTTATTAAAGATCCAGCTAAATATCACAAAAATCACATGACATTGCCAGTAGGTACTGGGCCATCTCCATTGTCACCTGGACTGGATTTGGGATCTTCCACCTGTAGCCCTGTCTGTCAGGTGTTTCCAGGGATGTTGAACCGAGGAAGAAGATGGACCCTAAATGTGGGTGACACATCCTGGACTGGGGTCCCAGACTTAAAGGAGAGAGAGAAGGGAATTTAGAGTCAGTATTCACCTCTCTGTTCTTGGATGCCACACTCAATGGCCTTATCCTTCTGCCACCATGCCCTCCCCACCACGATAGACCCTGGTACTGTGCCCCCCTTAAAAATACCCTTCATTGAGTTGCTTTTTGTTAGATGTTTTGTGGTGGCAATGAGAAAAATAATAACTCACTCAGCAGATGAAGGGGAATCGGTTTCATTTCTTTAAAGATCATCAGTGTTCAGCCACAATAAAAAATTACTGGGCAAGAGGAATCCTGATCTGTAATAAAGATTAGTCTGACTTTATGAGGTGGGCCATTTTCTGGTCAAGAAAATTTTAAGAAAAGTAAATCACCGCCCCCTGTTTGGGAGATAACCATCTGTTGGCGTTGGGTGCTGGGCACAGCCTGCATTGTGGGGGAATCTCGCAGTGGAGAGCTGTCAGGCTCCCCACCCCATCCTGCCGTCCTCCTAATGAGAAAAAGAAAACGGGCTCACATCTTCTCAGACTCCCTTTGCCTTCTCAGAGCCAGCCTGTCTGGGTCTCTTGCCAAAAATGTTTTTAACTCTTCAATATTTATGAGACAAGAGTAAATAAGGTACGACGGAAGAGGACCAGTGTTGGAGACACAACCCTGGGTCCATGGTGCCTTGCGTACTGAGCCCTGACCCCTAAACCCGCAGATATTTTTAGGGGGCTCCTTGGCTTTATAGCCTGAAGCAGCCCTGGTGGAAGCAACTGACACCACAGGAGCTGGCGAGTGGTTTAGAACAGGTTTCTGAACCCAACCACCCATAAGATGGTTAGATGGAAGCTGGACAGAGCAGAATAGAAGTTAGACTCTGAGCTCCTAGCACCACGGGCAAAGTAACACATTGCTGAAGGGATGCTTTGCAGAGCAGGTGACCCTGGGTGGGGCTCCCGGCACTGATTGCTTTTCTACGTTGCTTTGCATCTGGGACCCGCCCATGCCTACTCAGGATCTGTTGAGTTCCCAACCAGAGAACTATTCTTGCCTTAGAGTCCACTCCATTCCCATGGTCATTCACCTGGATCTGAGCTTGCCGAGGTGCATTCCTGGGACAGCTTAAAGCCCCTAAGCAAGAGTCTTGCATGTTGAAGCTGGTTGACCATCTATCCCACTGATCCAAATCCTACATGTTTCTGGTGAGATTCAGGGGGAGAGCCTGGAGAGTGAATTGAGGCAGGGTTGTTTAAAGGCTTCCATCTCAACCCTCATCAGTAACCTCATCCGCCTCAAAGAATGCCTATGTACAGGGGTGGGTGGAGAGGGCTTGGTCAGGCTGCAGGGGAAGGGCATTATCTCACCGGGCTTCAAGAACAGATTGTCGGGGGTACTGGGTGTGGCAGGCATGCTGTTTCCTTCTGTGGCCCACCAAGCCTCACCATGTCCACTTGGAACCAGAATCAGATGTTTGGTAGAGTCGGAGCAGACTTTGCCACACCCTTAGCCAGACCTCAGTTCTGGCTGTGTTGCAGCCTGGGTGGGCAGTCCCAAGACTGACTCTCAGGATTTCAAGAACTTACTTGTGTTCTCCAGTCACGAATTTGGATGTTTCTAGATACTGTCACTGCATTTCATCCATACATTTGGCTCTCTTATCTCACCCCCTTCATGCCAGCGTGCTTAGAGGAAACCACCCTTTGCAGGTGGGAAGAAGCCTCTGTCTGCTAGAACGAATCTTAGCCCCAAAGGGAATTGGACAGGATGTGTGCTTTGGTCACCCTGCCCTCTGCTCAGTTCTCCCTCGACTCCTCCACCTCAGCGGAGAGGGACACCCCTCTGCAGCTGAATCTCTACCACTCCAAAGCTTGCATCACTCATGCAAGAGGACCGTACCATCCCCGTCTTGTTTATAAATCTCTCTCCTGCTGTCAGTGGCTCCACACTCGGAATCCAGCAGATCCTCTAACTCGTTCAAGGGTGGAACCTTCATTAAAGAGGATACAATGAGATATATCTCCCAGTTGGTCTCAGCCAGGGATGACTGTCCCCATATCATTTAGACAATTTTCAGTTCCGATCAGGTTGACAGCCAATTCTAACCACCACCCCAGAATGTGGATAAATAGTATATTATGCAGAAAGATGAGGTACTAGATACAGTGAGATTAAAGTTATCAGAGGCTAAGGATGAAGAGGGCGAGGGAGCTGGGAGCTGCTGGTTAAAGGGGACACAGGTTCATGTCTACAAGAAGAGGTAAGCTTCAGGGTTTATTGTTGAGTAAGGTAAACCGTAGCCCATGACACTTAACAATGACCAGAAGTCCGGCTGGGGAGATGCTTGGTGGTTAAAAGCATTTTCTGTATAATCACGAGGACTGGTGCTTGAACCCTAAAACCTATGTAACAATCTCGGCATGCAGCATGTTTATGACCCAGCTCTGAGGGGGATGAAGACACAACCTATGGGACTTGCTGTTTTCCAGAAAAGGCAAAAAAAAAAAAAAAAGCAAATTCTGTGTTCAGGAAGAGACTGGGTGCTGAGTGACGGAGGAAGACAGCCAGTGCTCTCTTCTGGCCTCCCCAGGAGCATGTACATACAAATGTGTACATATACACAGAGACAGGCAAGCACACACAAATAAACAAATGTTAAAACAAAAATCTAATTTCAAATGGTATATTATCTAAAAACAAGCCAAGCCAGGTGATGGATGTGTTAACCAGTTTTTAAGTCTCTGCATATACCCATATGGAGAAGCACCACTTGGCAGCCTATAGATGTATGGTCACCATCTGTCAGTTACAAGTAGCATTAGTAGTCCAAAATACACAGGGGTCTCTCATCAGTCATGTCTGTATTGATAACATGTAGAAATGCTGCTCTGGACAAGTGGAATCAAGCATGTCTTTGAAGTATACACTCTGCTACTTCTGTTTCCAGCCTCCTGCTGACCCCTGCTCTGAGGCCAGTTGATTTCCTGGCCTCCAGGACATTCACACCCTGTTGGTGGGATTAGTGGAGATCATGAGAGATGGAGTTCCAGGAGCAGGACTATTGGACCAGCAAGCATGGCTTTTTTGATCTCAGCATGGTCACCCAGCTATGGGGTCCTGCCAGGGAGACAGAGGAGCACAGCCAGACACGAATGCCCCGGATCCTGGAGAAGAGCTGCATTGGGGCGGAGGAAAGAGCACTTGGGGGCTGCCATTACTGGCACTTAGAAAGTGGATTGCCTGTAATAAAAATCCCGAACATCCTGCTTCAGGCCGAGAAGGGTTGGGGGGAATCTCATGGGGGAGCTCTTGACACGCTGCCCAAACCACAGCCCTCATCACCGAGGCACGTGGCTTACACTTGCATGGCTGTGTGGACACAGGCCTCTCCCAGACTGGAAACTCTTGAGCAGCTTCACTTTGGAGAAACAGATCTCCACCCTCTCAATCTTTCCCCCACCCACACGTCAGCAAAGGCTTTGCTTAAGCAAACGCCACCTGCTCCCCCGCCTGGACACTTGTTCACACCACAGAGACCTGTGCTGAATGCCAGCGACTCAGGCCTCCGCTCTCTGAGGGGGTGGGCCCTGGAATGTTGACACCACGTGCCTGTTGCTATAACGATAATGTTCTATATTAATAATGTCTCTCTCATCCAGACGGGTTCCTGAGTACTGTACAGGTTGTGCTAAGGAACCATCGCAAGTTAAAACAATCCACTGTACCCATCAGGACTCAATAGCTCCTGCGTGAGTCTCAGACTTTTTTGTTCACACTCAGAAATGAGGATGGATTGTCCACGGGCTCAGTACAGCAGTGGAAGTTGACCAGGGCTTGGCTGGGAAGATACTGAGGTCATAGTCACTGTGCCACCAAGTGAGCAATGGGCTAGAGCCAGGGGTAAGGAATGGGAGATGGTGGAGATACTATCTCTAACAATTTAAACCCACACCACCACACAGGATCCTCACTTAAAAACGAAGAAGAGGATACAGAGGTTCATATTTGTAATTCTAATTCTAGCATTGGAGAGGATGAAGTAGGAAGACCGCCACACGTTAAAGTCTATCTTGAAACACAGAGAGGTCCAGGCCAGCCTAGGCTACAGAGTGAGACCATGTGATCCTGAGATCTTGTAATAATAATAAAAAGGAAGAAAAGGAGGAAGGAATGAAGAAAGAAAGAAGAAAAGGGCAGGGTGTGGAGGACAGATACCATAAGTCTGAGGGCAGAGGCTGTGAGGGCCAACACTGGCTCTAAGGTTCAGCTCTGGGAGCTGATGGCAATGGGGTGGGCTTCCTGGTGCATTGGGGAGAGAAGTCCTAGGGAACTCATCAAAACCTTATTTTGAACCTGCTTGAGTGAAACTGGACTACAGAGTGGATGCAACCTGGGGAGAGAGAAAACAGCTACAGGGGCTCCGGATCCCATGGAACTGGAGTGCTGATACCTGGGAGTCACACAGGTTAGACGCTAGGAGCTGAACCTGTCCTCTGTATTCACAGCCAACAGAGCATCGCTCCAATCCCCAAATTTAAAAATCCCCAAATCTTCTCTATAACCCCAGGTAGACCCAGAAGCCCCTCAATCCTCCCTGTATCTGGATCAACTTCTGCCAGGTGCTTCTCCCAGGGACCTGCCACAGCACTTGCCTGCCATCCCCAGGATTAACTATTTCAGCCAACCTCAGAGTGCGGAGTGAGGAGGATGCAGAGGCCCTGGGTAAGACCCAGAGGGAGCAGCCACACTTGGGCTACTGGGATGGGCAGCTTGCAGTTGGTGTTTCCTCTCACACGTGTGGTGGGTGGGAGCAGGTGATTAGCATCTGCTCTAGCTGGAGAGCGCATCCTGGGGACAGGTGATGAGAAGGCCAGACGGGAAGGCTGGATCTCAAACTGACTTCAAAGCCAGAGGATTTTGCCAGGAGCATGGTGGCACCATCTTGGAATGAATCATGCACATTTGGACTTGGAGGAACGGCCTGCTGGTGTCACCGGAGAGGAATCCCTGAGCATGACTGAAATGGGGACATCTGCAGCTGTCAAGCCAGTGTTTGAAATGGAAATGTCTGTGCTCTGGAGATGATGAAAGCAAAGGATGTTCCTGATGCTGCCAAGTAGTTTCCTCTCAACCAAATGGAGGAGGGTCAGAGAGCAGCGGGGCATTTGGGCTCTTCTGCACGAGCCGGAGCACGAAGACCATCATGGCTCTGGCTGGAGCTCTGCCTGCTAGCGGGTGGAGGTCCATTGCGGCCTGCTGGGCAGGGTGTGGCTGCACTGTGGAAGTTTGTTTCTTGTACGGGTTCTTTGCTCTTCTACGGGATGAACTGAGCAGATGTAGGAAGTGGGCGGGTGACACGATTTCTTATTAAACAGACCCCCAGTAGTACCCACGTGATGGCAGGCATGCCTCTTTGTTCCTAAGGATGGGTGCCCTTAGCCACCTTCAGAGTAGAGGGATTTGGGCAGTGACCCGACGATGCCGGTGGGCAGTGTTGAAGTTTACCTTCACGTGTGTGTTTATGAGTGCCTGCTCTCCGCAAGTCCACACAAGAGTGGGCCCATGTCTGTTTAGTGTGCACATGTGTTTGTTGTGTGTGTTTGTTGACAGCAGTTCCTGCTTCCACTCACCATGTTGAGGAGGAGCACGTGCCTGATTTTCCTCTCAGTATTGTTCAGAAGTCCAGGCCCAGCTGGAGACGGGCACACATTGGCCCTGGCATAAAGGGTAAGGAGAAGGAAATGGGGGATCAGCATCTATGCTAGGGATAGCCTTTACCAGGGAGGAGGGGAGGGGCAGGGAGGCTACAGCAGTTCCTTTAGGAGCCTAGGGAAATTCAGAGGGCAATTCTCTTAGGAAAGTTCAGGGGAATGGAACCGTCCCTCAGGAGTTTGTGACTTGCACAGGGTGCTGTGTGATCACTGGGCTCTGTGATAGGCTGTAACTGGTGATGACAGTCTGATGTGGTTCCGGTAGGGAAAGGAGTCTGTTGTTTGGCATTGTTTTCAATCCAGGGTCCATGCAATTGTGTGCAGAGACTCCTGAATGAAGCCAACAGTGGTGAGGGAATGTTTGCCTCTTTCATACAGTGCCAGGAGAAACTTCTGAATGTGTACAGGGCCTGGTGCTATGGGTTGAGGGTGTACATTCTCATTGTCCCCCACGGAGACCTTGTTCAAGAGCCCCCTCTCGAGGCAACACTAGCATAACTGGAATTCGAGAGCTGCACCCATTGTAATGTAGGCCAGTTCTCCCAGACCTCACAACACCTCTTCTTTTCTGCTGCATGCTCTGGAGGTCACTCAACCCTTTCCCACAACTCTTCCTATAGGACAATGACAATTCCTGGCCAGAGCCATGGTCAACTTCAGAAATCAGAATGCATGGTCACAGCTCCCGGCAACAATAACTCCCTGTTTGAAGGTCTGATAGACGCTGCCTCATGAGGGGATACATATGTCGCCTTTCTCCTCGGACATAGCAGCCTTTCTGGAAGCCACTCAGAATGAGCCACACTCAGGCTCGGATCTAGCTCTGCAATCATGGCTGCTCTCCTGAGGTTCCAGCTGCTGATCTGGAGGGCAGAGATATGCAGTCAGTCTTCCTCAGGTCCAGTCGGCTGCTGTTAATTTTCCATCCTGGATTCAGCAGATCCTGACGGTCTTGTCATCTATGGAAAGCATGGGTTGAAGACCACTACTCCCCATGTGCTGCTTTATTGGATGATCCCCTCCTATTTATGTCTCCAGAAAATATGCAATTCATTTGATCTAGAAGAGTCTCTCCGCAACTGCTGTCCATCACTGGCAGATTGAATATCATACTAAACATATCTTGGGCGCACCGTAAGCACTTGTTTGGATGTGGACATCAGGGAGACGTGCTGGTACATACACATGATGAGCTCTGTTGCTGAAAACACTCAGCGGCACCTGCCAGCACAAAGTCACTTTCCTTTTCCTGTAAGAGGGTAATGGGAAAACTCAGACACCAGGCTGATTGGAAACCAAGTCTTTCCCAAATGCTTCTTCCCTGGGATGAGGGCTTGACAGTCAGTTTGGGGCTGTTTCCAGGAATCTGTTATTTTGTCTGCAGTTTCGCATGTAACGCTTTTTTAAAAAGTGGTGGTTTGTAGGCGAGTGGGGAAATGGGCACATGGAGAGTTTGACTAGTCCCTGAGGTTGCTCAAAACAAAAGCAAGTGACTGGGGAGATGGCTCAGTCGTAACCAGAAGGAAAACTTGAGTTTGTGCCTCAGGACTCATGTGGAAAAGTTGAGCATTGTGATACACACTGGTAACCCCAGCACTGGGAGGCAGGGATAACTAGACTTGTGGGACTTGCTGGCCAGGCAGACTAGCCTGACCCATGTGCTCCAGATTCAGTGAGAAACTGTGGGGGCGGGGCGTCTGATGATGACACCCAAGGTTGACTCTGGCTAATATACACACACGCACCAGCATACACTCACGTGCACACACAGGCATATACATAAAAGACTGGAGTGAAGGCAGTCTCTCGAAACGGGGGCACCTTCTGTGTCTCTCCTGACATGGGCTGAAGGTTGGCTTCTTAGTAATGGCCTCGTGTTGTTTCCTCACGAAAATAGCAGGTCAAATCAAAGCGAGGTTTCAGAATCTGCAATTCTAATCTTCCATTCGACTCCAGGAAAACCGCGATTCCCTTACAAGCTGCCAGACTTAAAAATGCCTCTAATTTGATTACAGGTGTCGATGTCTCAGATCAGAGACGATATACCTGACCCACAAAGGCAGCTGAGTACTGCTGTAGCTTTGGCCTCGTGAGTTAAAACAGAAGAACCTTGGTTTCCATTCATCAGTCAATGGACCTGTGGGATGATGTTTTTGTGATCTTTAAATCAAATTGCCTTCGCTCATATTAATTGTAGGAACATGCAAAGAGGCTTTCTTCCGGGTCCTTATTTTCATTTTGTATTTTTTGTTTTCCTCTCTCATGCAGCCATTTAGAGACTGGAACGAATACATGAAGATATGGAAATCTAGCAGTTGGCTCCACATAATGGGACCCTTTCATGCTTTCTCCAGAGGCTTCTATTCATGCATCATGATGCCAAGTTCTGGCAAATAAGCCAAGTTGGATTAAGTTACAGCCAAGTATGTTGACTTTACCCATTCAATTTATTCTTGGCAACCTTCAGAGAGTATTTATAATAAAGTCCCATTTCGAACATTCGAGGGCCCCGGCGGAGTTCTAATAACACTGGGTATTTATTTAATGTCTAACTGTAAGAGTTCAAAGCACTTTATAGGCATTCCTTGACTGATCTTAACATCCCTGCAAGATTTTACAGCTTGGACAAGTCAATCGAGGCCCTGAGACCTGCCTGGGATCACCCAGGAAGACCATGCTACTCCCTAAATTAATCACGCTGCCAACATGCGGAGGCTCCTGTACCTTAGCCGGCGACTGCATTCTCCAGCCCTTATCTCAGCGTCGCCGAGTGGAGACTATTTGTTTATTTCTCCATGGAGATCTTTAATTAAGGAAAGCAGAAAGCACCACAAACACTTCTGTCTGCGTGTCACTGCAGTAATTGGGCAAAGTATCTTTTAAATATTTTGATTCTTTAGTGATGAAGTTAACAATTCTGGTTGTTAGAGGGGAGAAGGCTCGGGAGTGTGTCCCATTTGGATGATGCTACGAGACACATCTTTCTGTGGCTTCCAGAGTGGATGTCAGCTGACACTGGTGGTGGCCTGTGGGGCTGTAGGCAATGGCATCATCAAAGGAAGACATGACCATGGCTCCTTCAACTGCTTCTGGGACACTGATCTGACCATCGCTGTCATGTCACTGTCTGCATGGACTCTGACTATAGGACACTGATTTAACATTTAATGGGCACCGCTGACGTTTGGTGAGTGGCACTTCAGTTGTACTCTCCGAGGCTCTGGTGACAGCGAGGAGGCCCTGTTGGCTTGAGGATATGAAAAGGAGGAGACAGGCTCAGCAGGCACAGACTTCCACCTGCTCACTCACAAGATTTCCCGTCTCTGTTATGGAGAGAAGTGCCCCTTTATGCCTCTGACTGTGTCCTGGAGTACGATGGAAGGCCATTTACAAGACTTCGGATGATCATAGAGTCAGTGTCGACCCCAACTGCCCCACGGAGCTTTTGGGGGAGCCCATAAAAGAAAAGGCACTTGCCCCTACCACCTGTTTATTTTATAGCCCATATATGGTCTGAAAATCCTCCTAAGACTCTTTGTAGGGGTCAAGGGTTAAGTCTCCCTGCCATTGCCCATGCCCCCCCCCCGTCTCCATTCCTGGGGAGTTGAATGTTAAGCACAGAGGAGTGGAGTCAGCACTATGCAGGGTTGAGCAGCACCCAGGGTATCAACAGACCCTGGAGCTAGACTGCGTTTGACTGTGGGGTCTATGTGGCTGTGTGGGTGGGGTGAGTCTCCCAATTATATGTCTTAGTTTCCTCATCTGTAACATAGGATTAAGGCTAGCAGTAGCTGATTAATGAAGCAGATGGACCAATGTCCACTGAACTCTAAAGACTGGTCCTAGCACATGATTTGTGTTTACAGATTATTATTATGACACCCGAGTCTCCTTTTTTAGAAACAAGTAGGAAGATTACCAGTAAGATACCAGTGTCTGTAGGCAGGCAGATATTAATAGCCCCGAGGACAGAGACAGAGCACAGGACGCTGGGTCATTGGGAATGTCAGCAAGGTGCTGTGCAGGGACAATCTGACACCACAATCATCCTCGGGGATGACTGGGGGTGGCAGGTATCAGAGGGAAGTGTTTTGGGGAACTTTTTGACACCCACGCCTGGGAAGGCTGCCCTCCAGATAATTGTGGACCATGCTGGTGGAGATGTTCCCTCTCCTGGCACGGCAGACTGCCTGGGACAGGACAGACTGTTTGCCAGGGGAAGGGCTTAGAAGTCCTGAAGATGTGGCTCTTGATTGAGGGACCCTTGTAACATCTTCAGAGTCTGGTGTCCCAGAACTTTGGGCCGACATCTCTCTCAGTGGGGAGAGTGCCTTCCTAACATGGCAGTGGTGCTTAGAGGTCCCAGCTTGAGCCCTACTGAGTGCTGGGGTGTGTCATGGCCCTACAGTCCACTTGATGAGCATGCATGGCACTCGTGAGAAGCTTTACACATTTAAGAAGTCAGCAGAGACCAAGCGATGGGCTGAGAGCCCGTGTACACTTTGCAAGCCAGACAGTCTGGATCCATATGTACCTCTACAGCTGAAAGTGAGGATGATCCCGGGAAGGTGGCCTCCGATGTTTCTAGCCAGCTAGAATCCCATACACATTCAAAACCAGCTCACTTTCCCAGAATGGATGCCGCAGCAGAAGCGGGTGAATTTGCATCACAACCCTCACCTTGCACACTAGTGTGTGTGTGGGAACTGCAGGGCCAGGAAGGACATGGGGACAGCCTTTTATTTTCTGCTTTCCAGACTCTGCACAGTGGAGAGTGACCTATGAGGCACAGGAGGACAACATCAGCAAAAACGACAGGCTTGTAACAAACCAAACAGAGAGATGCAGCCTGGAGAGTTTAACATGCAGTCAGGAAAAGTGAAAGGCAGGCCGGAGTGAGACTTTACTGGTCTTGCAGAGGGCCTGAGTTCATTTCCAAGCACCTAAGTCAAGCACTTCACGACTGCCTGTATCTCCAGCTCTAGGGATTCCAGCACCCTCTTCTGGACTCTGAGGGCACATGAGCTCACATGCTTGCACACACACAGAGTTAAAAGTAAGCAAGTACCGGTTAATTTCAGAAAATAAAGTCAAACGAATTTTAGGTCGTTTAGGATGGAGTGAAAAATATTGGGAAAGCATAGCGCTTATGGTTGAGAGGTAGTGGCGTCCTCTTTGCTCCTGTGGAAGAATATCTTCCAGGTGGCAGGATAGAGTCGTGGTCTGCCTTGATTTTCAAGTCCAAACCCAATAGCAGTTGCCAGACTCTCTGGGTTGACATTAATGTAAAGAGACATGCCAGAAATAAATAGTGGTGGGGGATAATTCCTCAGCTTTTAAGAGATAAAAAAATCAGTAAGGAGAATTCTGAATAATTAAATTACAGCCAAGAGTCCACTCAGTCTACAAAGGAGGGTCCAACATATAACTTTGCCTGGAACATTTGCAAAACCTGACTGTGTGCTGAGCTACTTAAAAATCTCAATAAATTCCTAAGAGCAAACGGTGCCATCAGAATTCTTTGACCACAATACAATAAAACTAGAACTAAATAATGGATGTATAAACAGGAAACTGCGGCCACTGGAAAGTTAAAACAAAGCAACACAAAACAAAACATTCCTGAGTAGCCACAGGGTCAAAGATGAAATCAGGACCACAGTAACAAACAATCTGCATGGATTTAGTCAAAAGCTTGGCCCTGGTGATGATGGGCTCTGATTACAACCAGGGCTAGAGCAGGAATCATGAGAGTGGTCTGAAACATCCAAGAAGGAGGACTGAGTGGGAATGATACCGTGTGGCCATTAAAACATCTGTATGGATGGGAGGAAGCTCATGGCATTTCCAGTCAAAAAGCCAGAAATGCAAGTTCATCTGCTCTTAAACTATGGCCATTGTTCTCCCGGGAGTGGGAGAGAAACTCTCACAGCTATGTATGTGTAGCTATGCATCCTTCTTTTTGCTCTTGGCTGTTATGTACATTGTCTTGATGAGGATTAATTATGTACCAAAATAAACAAACACATAGAAAAGGGGTGGGGTGGAAAAGAGTGGGGATCTGACATACAGCAGTTGATTTTCAATGGGGTCCTAAGGTACTGCGAGTCACTGTGTAGGGCTTTAACTACACTCAATACTTAGAAAACCTATCGTATCAGCTTTGTTCATTTTCTCTGCACAGGTCCTTGTTGGCAGCTTCCACTGTTTGCACAATAATCACAAGCAGATTGCTTGTAGGTTATAGTTTCAGACTCCTGAGATGAGCTGGCAATCTTCAGAAATACCATAGCATGTGTAGACAAGATTATTGGTGATTGTAGGGTGAGATTGCCTACAACACCCCAAAGCGTGCCTCAGTGCAGAATTTACTTTCGGGAATCGGCCTGGCAGATCAGATAATTTAGACACCGTCCTTGCAGCTCAATTACTAGGATAGACATCCAGCAAGGACCGCTGTTGAGGACATGCCAGTGAATTCACCCAATGGGAATCATCTACTCCCAGAATCTGCTGGATCGGGGCTGGCTGCTTTGAACTGGGCCAACCAGAATCTCTCTCCATGTATATCATTATCCTTTTTGGATGATGGTGCCAAGACGTTTTGTAAGTGGAGAACCCGGGGAAGCCCCAGTCCTTTGTAAAGGAGAGCTGTGTGTGTAACACAGGTTCTGTGCTGGGAGGCAGAGGGTCGGTGACCAAATGCTAGGAAGGAGGAGAGTGCATAGGCAGGGGGAAGATCTGCAGCTCCTACTAAAGCTTTATTGAATGTTCTGCCAAGGAGTAGCCCTTTGCTATTCAGCCTTCCTGTTGAGACTTCTGGGATACTGTTACAGGCAAGCAAGTGGCTTAGCAGCCAGGGCAAGTATATTGTGCTTGGAATTGAAGAAACCAACTTCCACATTTGGATACTCAGAGCCATGCTAGCCAGCTGCAGAATGCAAGAGGCAGCACCATGGTGTTTGTTTGTTTGTTTTCTTGAAACATAACGGCATGCAAATCTCCTATATGAGCTGGGAAGACATTTCTACAGAAGAGGAAATAGATAACGATATGGTTCGAGCATTTTAAAAACCACTTGCTGGACTTGGTGGCAGTCCATACCAAGTGACGGAAACCTATGAACTAGCAATGTAAAAACAACAGGAGCATCTAGTCAGTAAATGGGGTACAGTTGGGGGTGCAGCTCAAAGTGAGGAGTGGTGACTATTCCTAAGAAGAGATAAAGGGACAGGATTAACCTGGAAGTGACTGCCAGAGCCACTACCTAAGGCTGAAGGGTTCAGCAAAGACATGCACAGGCTATTCACTTACATTTGAATTTCAGATAAACATTGTTTTGTTTAGACTAAACATATGTCAAATATTGCATGGAATATAGAATACTTCTTTAAGTTGTTCTTTGAACTACACATGCATGCACATGTGTACACATACACAATAAGTAAAAATGTAATAAAAGCAGCAATATACCCCAACATAAACTAAGGCCTTTCCACTTTTTTCCTTGATGTTTAGTTATATACAGTCACCATAGTAGCTGGCTCCTTTCTGATTTGCTGATCTGATAGTCTAAGTTAGCTAATTCTCTGTTTTACCTATTAATACTCCTATCTCAAGAATGGCTCAGTTTTCAAATGGAATATGTAATCGTGCCCTCTCCTTCAAGAAATTCCTCACTGTCACAACTCAGTTTCATCTGATCCTTTCCTGTCAAAACAGATCTTAGAAATCTGCCCTGTTCCAGGAAGACAACTGTGATCCTGCTGTGCCTTGTGACTTGGCATTGCAAAGGGCTCCAGTACATCCCAGGCAGAGCTCTGCCATCCGGTCTCTAAGTGGAGCCAAGAAATGTTCCCTACTACCCTACCCATGAATTTCTTTAAGGAAGCAGGGCACATGGCTTCTTGGCAGACTGTAAGGTTGAAACTTGGGTAAACCCTTTTCTGTACCCAACCTAATAAATAACAACTTCAAATCTGGAAGCACCCTCCCAGAAGGCTGTTAAGTTTATGTAATAAAGACATGATCTGTGCCAGCAACATGGACCAGCTGGTAAAGGATGTCACCAAACCTGACAGTCAGAGCTTGACTCTCAGGGACCACATGGTAGATGGAGAGAACCAACTCCTACAAATGGTCCTTTGATCTACACACACACACACACACACACACACACACACACACACACACACACACACACACACAAGTAAAAGTAGTAATCAGAACAAGAATGCCCTATCATATCTAAGCCATTCCCAGTTTTTCTTGATGTTTACTCCTACACAGTCGCCATGGTAACCGGTTTCCTTCTGAGATGCACAGCACAACTGAAGGCCTAGTATCTTTCTCCCTATGGGAACTTTGGCCCCTGGGCCATGTTTGTATTACAAACCATCATGATGTCAACAGCTCTAAGAAAGTCTAGGATTACTTTAGTCAAAGACTGTTTTGTCAACCCTACTTCATTTCTTAATCGTGGCTGCCTGCGTCTGAGCCAAGGGATTCAGCTTGGATTTAGTGCGAGCAAGGAGCCTATGCTGGGAACTGCCCTGACTACTGCCTGGACTGATGACACTGGTGACACATGTACCTCAGAGGGAAAGAGAAAGTGAAGGGAGTCCTTGCCTTAAGCATTGAGATGTATCGTGTACCTTTTATTCCTCTGTATTCCTGTGATCGGGTGAGGGACACTTGGCTCCCCTGTGTCTTGCTTACTCTCTTACACAGGCATAAGATGATGGGTTGGCTAACAGCCAGCATGCCCGTAAACCTCACCCCAGACTGCAAACAGAGTCATCTGCCTCCTTCTCTTTGTATCTGAGGTCAACCTTTCACCCCAAATAAAATACAGTGGTACAGTCATAAGAAAGGAATGTAAAACCCAGTTCCCCATCAGTCAGAATGTAAGCCGCTGCTGCTTCGGGCTGGTGAGAGGATCACCTAGGGAAAGAGGCCTGCCAATTGTGTCCACAGCTGAAGTTCCTACTAGATGTAATTCCCAGACTTAGACTCTGACCTGCACTGGATTATAGAGGTTGGGCCATGGGCCAGAAGGTATAGGACATATGCCTGCTAGTGTTAGCATCCAGAAGAGACATTCTGTATATAAAATGTTGCCAAGCCATCAGGGCTAGGAATCTCAGGCTGCAGCTTAGACGCACACTGTGCTGTCAGTTTTGGTTTTCAACTTGGCACTAACTATGGCCATCAGGAAAGATGGAATTTCAATCGAGAGAATGTCTTTATCACATCAGCCTGTAGGCAAGTCCCTGGGGTGTGCATTTTCTTGATTGATAGTTGATGTGAGAAGGTGCAGTCGGCTGTGAGCAGTGTCACCTCTGTTCTGGAGGTCCTGGAGGTATACAGAAGCAAACTGAACAACCACGGACAGCAAGCCAGTGAAGCAGCGTTCCTCCACGGCTTCCGTTTCAGTTCCTGCCCCCACGGCTTCCGTTTCAGTTCCTGCCCCCACGGCTTCTGTTTCAGTTCCTGCCTCCGTGTTCCTGCCCTTAGTTCCTTCCCTGACTTCCCTTCAGGATGGACTGTAAAGTGCCAGATAAAATAATCCCTTTCCTCTCTCCAGCATCTTTAGGTCATGGTGCCTAGCACAGCAATAGTAAGCAAACTCTGTCTTGCTTTAATTTGGTGCAAAGGAAGGTCTTCTGTTTCTACGGATGCCTCCGCTTGATGGCATCTGGGGGCGGGGCCTTCTGCAGCTGTTCCCAGGATTCTGCACTGGACCTCCACAGGTGTTTGGCATTGGAGAGTGGGAATCTCTTATGTGTCTGGCTCACTGCGGGATTCCCATGAGCTAGAGACCCGATGGCGTGGTTCTTTTGCATTCTGCATCCTAGCGTGCAGCAGTCTTTGACCTACATCTCTTGCTCTGTAGTGTTCTCGAACAGACCTGCACCCAAGAGGGGAGGCCCATGGACGCCTGTCCCCGCTGTGTACCCCATGCTCTGCCAGCACCACAGGAATCTTTTCACCCAAGTTTACAGGTCAGAGTCAAGTATAAAGTGGGCAGAATAGCTTGCTCGGGGCTCAATTGCTGCTGAGAAGTGTGGAGTACAGGTCCCCATGATTTTCCTAGGCGAAGCCAGCACAGAACCTTCAGGAATCTGCATATGGCATGGCTTCAGTGATTGGCACATTTTGAGAACAAAATCTTTAGAAAACACTAGGGAAAGAGAAATAATTGCCCGAAAATCCCTGTTACAGTGGGTAATAGTCTCTGATTTTGATTTACTGCTATTGAGTTAAAATAAAAGAGGGTGGAGATCAGTTTGGAATGAAATTTTATTCTTGTCTCCATAACTGGACTAGGGGGAGTCAACACAGAGACACCTGGATCTGTCAGTTTCTGGGAAGCAGGCGCCTGTAAAACTATATTGGCCTTGCTTCAAAACCAAGAAAAAGAGAAAGGGCAGCTAACTTGTAAATCTCAGAGCTCAGGATGGGTACTTGCTCCGGGATGAGCCGTAGGGCTCCCTCTAAACC